GGTTTAACAGATTCCAAAGCCAGTTTTCTATGTACTGCTCTAATTTATACTGACTAATGCTCAGACAGGACCATTTATGTTTTCAGGTCATTACTAGCTCCACAGCAGAAGCCAGTATAATTTCTACTTTAAGTCTTCAGCAGAAACCCTTGGTAAATATTTGTTCATGCTTTGGGGACTCTATATACAATTCCATTTCTTTGCTTATTAGTTCTAAACATCTAACAGAGATACCAACACAAGATAAATCTGTATTAAAACTAATGTCTGAAAACAGTCCACATCAAGCCTTCTTCATAAAGGATTAGGGATAAATAACATCTCCAGGGGCTTCCCTGATAGCTCAGTTGGTAAAGAATCCACCTGCAATGCAGGAGACCTCAATTCGGTTCCTGGGCCAGGAAGATCCATGGGAGAAGGGATAGGCTACCCACTCCAGTATTATTGGTCTTTAAAGGTGGTAAAGAATCCTCCTGTAATGTGGGAGACCTGGGTTTTATCCCTGGTTTGAGAAGATCCCCTGGAGAAGGGAAAGGCTACTAACTCCAGTATTCTGGCCTGGAAAATTCCATGAACTGTATAGTCCATGCACTTGCAAAGTATCAAACATGACTGAATGACTTTCATGAACATAACTGGGAGAATTCAAAGTGTTGAAAGAATTCTGAGATTTCAATTTACAACAAAGAGATTGGCACATGTAAATAAAAGCAAAATGCATTGCTTTTTAATTTTAGGAATATTGTTGATATCAAAAGAAATAATCTCAAATGGACATTATTCATTTGTGGCCATTAAAGGCCAATGCTAGAGAATTTAAATTGCACATATCATTTAGAATTGGGAGAAACAAAAGTACTTGGTTTAAGTGTGGCTTTTTGGATTAGTGATGATAAAGTGCATCAGAACATATTGTGTTAAACAAAAAACAAACAAAATTTAAAGCATCTGGCTTATAAGAGTTTACCCTCCTATAATGTAGAACTACTTTATAGATCTGATTGCTTCCTCCTTTAATATGTCTGGATTGAAATGCTGGTTTATTTATTGGTTCTGTCGTATTTAATGGTATTTTGGTTAACTTAGCATTTTATAAAAATGGTACAATATTTATCCAAGCATCCAAACTGTGTTTAGATCTTTGAAATAAAAGGGCTTCTTATAAATCCTCAATTTGATTTATGGGGCACTTCATAAGGTAAAACACTTGTTATAAATATGGGGCCATGGTGGGGATAACGGGTGGGTGGCAACAGTGGAATGAGAATGTCATTCCTGATCATTGTTTTTTTCTTTTTTCTTTTTCACTTATCTAATTTAGTGCAGGGTTTCACAGCTGGACTCCCCACTCTATAAAATAAAGTAGAAGGGAGTAAGTCATCTAGCTATAAACTAGAGAGGGAGGGAGAATGGTTTCCCGTGACCCAATGTGAGCAGAACCTTTAATAGTAGCACTATTATTAAGTAGAATAGTTCTACTACAATATTTTTACTAAGCAGAAATAGTTCCTAACAACTGTATATAATTTTATCATTTAAAAAATATTTTAAATGTTACTAATTTCACTGTCCAAATGTATTACAGTATACATATATTATTCTCACATTGTAGATACAAAGATAAGATTTATCTAAATTATGTTACTTATACGAGGTTACCTGGTAAGTGGCAGAGTCTGAGATGGGATTTACTTCACCATGCTGGTCATACCCAAGAAGTTTGGATAGGATGTCTATTCATAATAAAATATCAAATATTTTTCTAGCTGCCACATTGATTACTAACACCTGGGCAGCAGCATCCTTTCTTCTTTACAGTGTTGCACACAATGGAAATAAGGAGAGAAAACCATATGAATACCCTTGCCTTACAAACAGAAAGCTACAATTTTTCAGTTCCATTTTTTATCATCATTTGGTTTCTCTGTACTTAAACTGTATAATGGTTAGAGTAAAAATGTAAAGAAAAATTGAAGCTAATAGCATCTAAAAATCGAATGTTTAAATATAAAAAAAAAGCTTCATCAGGAGCAAATTAAGATATAAAATCATTTTGTAATATTTTACATAACTAAAAAGATTAAAAATGAAGTAGAATTGGATCATGAAACAATGATTTCTAGGGATGATAGAATCTGTCAGTTTTTAACAGCTTCTTTGGTTATGCTGAATTAGTTATTACCCATATTTTCTTTCCTTTACATTTTTGTGTGGCATGCAGATGTTCCTAAGCATATGTAATACATGATACCGATTATCAACTTTATTGATCTCACAACTGGAACCACCAGGATTCTTAATATGCCTATGGTGAGCCTGCAATGACTTTGCTAGACATTTATATATAGACTCAAACAACTACACTCTGAAATTTAAACAACATATTTCTATTTTAAATAGTTAACTTTAACCAATTGTTTATGCACTAAAAAGAATGGCAAGCAATCCAATGAGAAGTTGGCTTCTTTAGAAATTCTTGTTTGTATATCATATGCTTTCAAAGAGTTAAATAGTTATTATTTTATAAAATAACCCCAAAGCAAAACCCATGCAATGTAGATGGAGTTGTTTCTTTATTTAGAATCGTTTACTAATAATAATTCAGATAATTCAGAAAGAAGTCAAACTTCTCCCAGTAAGACCACTTTTCTCCTGCATATTGAAGGTAATTTTATAGCACTCCATTAATGAAAAGATCTAAGCAAGATTAAGAGGGCTCTCCAGGTCCCTCCCACAGCCCAGCATGCCCTGAAGTACTTTAAAGAAATGGTTTGCATTGGAATTCTCCCATGCATTAGCACTTAAATCTTTAAAATATCTTTGAAGCCCATCTGCTGCAGAGCTTCATTTTTAATGAAAATGTAAAGGGGGCAGCCATAGCTGTCTCCGATATAGTAGATCTTTCTTTATAATTCTCTCTCTTTTGTTGTACCTCAGGGATGTTTTGATCAGAATTATTTTCATTCATAAGAGAATGAATCCATTGTAACTAACTTGCAATAATAAAAATCATAGGGGATAACTATATCATTCCATAAATAGGTCCTTTTCTATCACTTTAGAGTTGTATTCTACAATACAGAATATATTTATACTTTGTTTTGTTAGTTCATTCACAAATTGATATAGGCATCTTTTCATATAATGTCCAACAGTATTTTCATATTCAAAAGCACTTAATAAGATGTATATTTGAAGGAGACTATTAATAAAAGTGAAAGTGAAGTCACTCAATCACATCTGACTCTTTGCGACCCCATGGACCTAGCCTACCAGGCTCCTTCGTCCATGGGATTTTCCAGGCAAGAGTACTGGAGTGGGTTGCCATTTCCTTCTCCACTATTAATGATGTAAAACATAAAAAAGAATAAAACATTTGTGATCTCTTAATGGGTTCCTTGTAGCTCAGATGGCAAAGAGTCTGCCTGCAAATCAGGAGACCTGGGTTCGATCCCTGGGTTGGGAAGATCCCCTGAAGAAAGAAATGGCAACCCACTCCAGTATTCTTGTCTGGAGAATCCCATGGACAGATGAGCCTGGCAGGTTACAGTCCAAGGGGTCACAAAGAGTTGGGCAAGACTGAGAAACTAACACAGAAATATAGAATTCTAGATGTAAAGATAAAAAATTTTAGGTTTAACCACTGCAAGTTTCCAACAAAAATTTCTCTTTTTGATTCTCTTAAGGTGGGTTTTTAATTTCCCAAACAAGAAAAAGAGAGTGGCTTCTCACTTTTGATTCAGTGAGATAATGCATAATATTTGAGATCTGAAGACAAACTGTTCATCCAACTATTTTATGAGGCTTGGCTAACTTACTACCTTCTCTGAACCTTACTTTCAACCTCAGTAAAATAAGAATAAAAAAGGGGATCTAGGCCATAGGTTGCTGGGGGCTTTAAACACATTAATACCTGTAGAGGGCCTGGCACAAAAATAATCCCAAATACCCATTATGTATAATACAATTATGATAATTTATTTCCACTTTCTCCACCCCACCTCCACCATGGCTAGTTGACCACAACTACTCCAGTTCACTTACCTAGGCAGAGATTAGAGAGAGAGGCACCACAGAATTGGTTTATGGGTTAAGTGCAAATTTTTAGAGTCACATTTCTCTGATTTCAGATTTCTGAAGGTTCTCTACTTTTCCTTCACTTTCAGCATCAGGAAAGAGAATGTAGAAGAGGAAAAGCAGACACTTCCTTTCATAAAAAACAGAGATGATTTCAGAATCTGCTTCTTAGAGACAATGTAGATTGAAGAATAATTTTCATTCATTTATTAAAAATGGAAGAGATTCCATAAACTTTTAAAATTTATCAAAATGAATAAAGAACACAGTATATGATTAAGTAGATATTTAACAAATACTTCTCTAATATAAATGTTTTAAAAAGAAAATTGGTTCAAGAACTTTTACTTAGAGATTAAAGGAGTTTGTGATGGACACACTCTCCAAGTGAAACAAGTAAAAAGGACTGTAGGGCCAAGCACTGCTGCTGGAAACAATAAGGATTGTAGGGCCAAGATCCTGCAAGTGGGAGAACTGTAAGAATTAAGTTTGAATAGCTCTATTTTCCTCTGGGGAATTGTCAAAACTGAGTGTGGGGAATAAAACTGAGAACATGAACTTTGCCACTGCTGGGAGATAGAACAATTCAGCAGTTCATGGTGATCTTTAGGGGCCAAAAATACCAAATTGGCCAAGATGTCAGACAGAATGATGGGCAGAAAACAGGTTGACACAAAGGCAGTTTTCCCTAAGACATCTGCCAAGTCTAAAACTTAAGCTACAACAGGCTGAGAAGCTAATCAGAGCAATTATTTTCTGATTAAGATTAGAATTTAGGAACAGCCAGGTGAGGAGCTCCAGCAAATACACAAGGTTCTCAGTTAAATGTTTTGAATGACTATGACCTAGGACTGTTTGTCAACCAGAGCTATACGGAGCTTCATTGAAACTAAAACCATACCCCACCCTCACCTCAGCAAATGGAATCAGGTGATCAGCCTCCAATCTGCCTCACAGTAGAAAAGGTAGAAACTCTACAGGACAATGATATCTTCTGGATTATCTGTAGTATTTCTTTATAATAGCCAATATTTAATTTTAAAATTTATTGTAAAAGATAGGGCTATAGAAATATGATGTGTGTTTCTGTGAAAATAGGGAAAAGTATGAAAATTTAATGAAAGAATAGTACCTAGCAGATATAAAATGGGAATTTTATACCTAAGAAGCATAATTAATAATAACTCAAAAAAGGAAAAGGTTTAACAGCATATTGGGCATAGCGGAACACAAGACTGGCAATCCAGGAGACATATCAATAGTGAATATATAAACTGAAGTGAAGAGGATAAAAATAAAGCTAAGAGAAGAATTTTAAAATAGAGCATAAGTGACAAGTGAGACATTTTCCAAAAAGTCCAATCCATGGACAATTAGAATCCATGGGTTAATTACAATGAAATGATATTTGAAGAAATATGCCCATAAGTTTCAAAAACTAGTGAAATGCAATAAATTTATAGAAGCTCCATAAACTCCCAAAAGTATATGCACAAAAGAAAACACCTAGATATGCAATAACAAAACTGCTAAAAACTGAATAAATAAATAAATAAAATGAATGTTAAAAAGAAGCCAAAGGAGAGGAAAATCACACATTACCTTCAAAGAAGCACCAATATGATTAGCAGGAGACTTCTCAGTGAAAATAACATAATGGTTTCTGTAAATATTTAAAGAAAATAATTGCCAACTGAGACAAATATACACAATTAAAATACTCTTTAAGATAAAGGCAAAATAAAAGCTTTCAGATCAATGAAAACTGAGAAAATGTGCCACTAACTCACCTGCAATGAAAAGAAAATAAAAGATCATTCTTAACACAGAAGGAAAATAATAATGGCTGTGGAATTCAAGATGTATTCAGAATTTCACCATGGTTTCTATTTTGCCTAATAGCAAATTATTTGGTTCTATTTGCTGTTGTTTGCTAAAGACTTTTTCCATCTCTTTAAATATTATTTTGTGTATCTTTAAGTCTTTCTTATAAGTAACATATAACTGGATTTGCTGTTTGATTGTGTTTGCTATTGATTATCCCCCTTACTCATATATACAGTTCAGGAGTCTCAGTCATTTCAAGTACTGTTTTCCATTTCCCATTTTTGGACAATGATGATATAATTAATTAGGATTTATTCCTTGTGTTTTTCTTAGTATTCATTTATGTTCTATTTCAGGAGTTTGGTATATGTGTGTGCATTGTATATATGTATGATATTCATATAATTTCTTCTAATGATCATTCTTTACTATTTTTAATCATTGTTTATAGTTTTTATAATACTTGACATATACATCTTGGAAACAGCTTGCAATTTCCTTTTTTTCTTGTTCTAGTACTTCCATATTGATATTATCTAATATTTCATTTTCATGCTGTTTCAGTGTTTTAATATTATGTGCCAACAAGTGTTGGATTTAAGTCTAAGATTTGTTGGCCTCTGAACACTAGTATGTATCTTTATCTTATGTGTTCTTTATTTCAGATTTTTTTTTTAACACTTTCTTGGGTTATACTCTAGAGCATTTCTTTTGGTAGTTTATAAGTATATGCTCCCTTTTCGTGTTCGAAAACCTATTTGAGTGTGTTTGGGGATGCAAGCTCTGCTCCCATTCTACTTTCAGACCTGGACAAGGGTTCAAGTTATGTGATGACAGTTAGAAATTTAACTTGATTTAGAATTGAAATAATATGTAGGTATTCCCAAAGCATCAAAGATAAAATCAAATTAATGTTGGAGCAATATGCTATTATACAATATGTCATAAAAAATAGTACCTAGCAGATCACAAAATTACACTGACTTTTTCTACTTAACAGAAAACATAATTTTACAGTAAATAAAATCTGGTGGGTCTTTTTCTCTTCTGTGATCTTTCATAGTACTACTGTGCACTAGGAAGTTTAATTTATAAATATTTCTTGTATATATATATATATCTTTTTATCTTTTGATGATTTTACATGATTTGTTTCATAATTGTGTTATTCCTCCATTGCCTGGTAAATATTAGTATAAGTGAATTTAACATCAAATATATAAAGTCATGCATCAAGATATTTCCCACATAAACAAGTCAATTTTGTTTTCTTTTTTTAGACTGCTCTGCATGGTTTTTTAGAACCTGGTTTTTAGTTGCCAATCACAAAACATAACTAGTTTGTTTCTCACAACTCTCGTGTTTTCTCTGTCCATTCCAATTGGTATAGTTTTCAGCTCTGAGTCCTTTGTGATTTTCCTAAAACTCTTTTTCATGTGACACACCTCTTCTGAAGGACCTCTAGCTGTAGTGCTCAAGATAAACATCCACCGGTAACTCAACATCCTTCAATATTTGTAAGAGCTTCATGTTGAATCTGCATACATCTAGAAGGTGCATGACCCAGTTCAGTTCAGTTCAGTTCAGTCACTCAGTTGTGTCCGACTCTGTGACCCCATGGACTGCAGCACGACAGGCCTCCCTGTCCATCACCAACTCCCAGAGTTTACTCAAACTCACGTCCACTGAGTCAGGGATGCCATCCAGCCATCTCATCCTCTGTCATCCCCTTCTCCTCCTGCCTTCAATCTTTCCCAACATCAGGGTCTTTTCAAATGAGTCAGCTGTTCACATCAGGTGGCCAAAGTTTTGGAGTTTCAGCTTCAACACAACATCAGCATGACCCAGACTAAGTAGCAAAGAGACAACAGATAATGCAGTTAAATATTCTTAGGCTAAAGCAAAATAAACCTTTCCAGATAAGGGTGACTGTGTTTTAGATTAAATTCATTAATATTGAGCTACATTTCCCAAGATGGACCCAAATAAGGATTGATAGAAGACACATGGTTGGGAAATTTGAGTGGTAACAGTAGGGAGTTCAAAGCAAGCAACAAAGAAGCTGAGCAGGTGACCAATGCCAGGGAGATAATATGGCAGGGGAAAGACTCTATTTATGCATAGCAGTTGTTTACAATACAATCCTAGTTTGCCTATGATAATAAAGGTCTCCAGCTCTGATGTCTTCAGATATGAGTTAGAAATGCCTACTCCACAACATAAGAACTACATCTTTGAAAGTTTGTTTTCTCATCTGTTAAATGAGGGTAATAATAAAATCTGGTTTATAGAGTTATTTTGAGGACTAGATGTGATGATGCAGCTAAATAATGTTACTTTTCATTAGCTATTATCATTATAACCCATCCAAGCCAGACAAGATAAGAATAAAATGTGAACAAGTAGGTTTAGACAGTGACAGATTAGGATAGCTGATTCTAAACAGGAATAAAAACAAGAGTATGTAAGCAAGCACAGAATAGAACCATGTGCTCAGTTGTGTCCGACTCTTGGTGACCCCATGAACTATAGCCCACCAGGCTCCTCTGTCCATGGGATTTTCCAGGCAAGAATATTGGAGTGGGTTGCCATTTCTTTCTTCAGAGTAGAACCGTAAGTAACTATATTTCAGACCTCTAGAGACAATGATTCACATCAGAGTTAAGGTGAAAGGTACCTAATGGACTGATATAGTGAACACTTTGCATAGCTATACCTACAGGCCATGATATAAGATGCTAAAGTTAATATGTTATGTATCTAGGTAATCAGAAACAAAGGCACAAAATAATTTATTTGGTCATCCATTTGCACAATCAGTATGAATTGATATTAAACAAAGAATTCTTCTAATCCAAAATATGTTGAAAATGCATTATTTCATAATGAGAATTACAGTCTCTAGAAATTTACCATATATGAGAATAATTATACCTGCTCTAAGAGAAGAAAGAAGCTCTTAAAATATGACAAATAATACTTTCTCAGACTGGTGTCTGTTAGTACCTGGGATGGCACTGATAGAACTCATAATAGGATGAACACCACGGGAAACTTGGTGCTTAGAATTAATCTATGGAAAAAGCAAAGTCTCAATTGATTCTCTGCACTCAGGCTTTAACTACCGATAGCTGTAAATTGTCATCTTTAAAACAATGCTGCTGATTGTATGCCTTTTATTAATCCACCACTTGAACTTCAGCCCTCTTAAAAATCCATCTGGTGGCAAGCTTGGACTTGTATGATGTTTGACACATGGCACAGAATTGACAAGAAATTTAGTTGTTTAGTTCAATTTGCAAATGCAAGAGAAAGCTTGCCACATAAGGCAGTTTTACTCTTTTTACTGTCCTTAATATAGGTGAAAGGAAACAATGTCTCTTCGGCAACCATGATGAATGTTTGACATAAATTAGCTAAAAAGTCAATATGTAATTTATTCCTGGTTGGAATTTTCTCCAGAGTAGGTTATGCTGTATACGGCACAGATGTACATATAAGGAGAAAAAAGTCGAGTTATAATTACGTTCACATGTTGGCTAATTGGGCCCTTCGGGGCCTTCTTCCTAATTATAAGAGGACATACAAAGAAGAAATAACACTAAGAGTGAGTATGTATAGAATGAATATGAGTTAAAATGTGTTGTGCTGGCTATATAAAAGCTGTAAAACTTGATAGGAAAGGAATGCTATTACTTGCAAGACATCTCCTGCACATTAAGAAAAGAAAATCAGGTCTACAACAGTGTCATTGACAGACTATATGATGAGGAAAAAAAAAAAAAATGCTAGGTGGGCTTTAAAGAAGACACATTGAAAAAAGGAAGGCTCCTAATCTATATTCTAGATGTATTTTTTCCTGTTTTAGGAATGCAAGGAAATTATGGTCTTATGATACCACTTGAAATAAAAAATATATATATTTGTGGCAAATTCATTGTATATAAGATTTTTGTAAGACTTCTGAAAAGAAAATTATATAGATATATTACATAAACATAAGCTTGAAAATCTTCAGAGAATTTATAGATTTGTAATGCTTAAACTTTGATGATATCATTTCCTAATAAAAGTGAAGGTAGATTTTAATCCCCAACATTGGAAAGCTATACATTTTTGCTCTGATAGCTCTTCAAGTAAAATTTACAGTTGTTTCTCTTCAGTTTTTCCTGGGGATTTAAGATAGCAGAAAGGGTGGAGAGTGTACCTATGTTAGAGTAAATCATGGGACTTTTTACAAGGTTGTAATTCATTTTATTTTACATCAAGTGGTACCCTTTTGACGTGTCTGTAAAAGTCTGAATGTTTATAGTGGATGTGTATATAATATTACACTACACCTCATAACTGAGATAAACTGGCAAGAACCCTAAAGCTCAATAGGAATAAGATTGCCTTTATCTCTTAAAACTGTCATTTTAATTTTTCACACTAGACAATGCTATAGATGAAGGACGACTTAAGATCCTGGTGACTGTTAGACTACAATCTTGTAATGTTTTGAATTTAGTATCTAATCAAATTGCTTTGCTTTTAGTATTCTTATCTTGATTTATGTGAATTGGTATAGGGTACCCTCCTTAGTATACCCAGAGGAACAATGTATTTTACAGTATTCTAAATGCAAATCCTGCTCCTAGATTTATACCATGGACAATGTAGTCGCACTATTAAAAAATAATTTAAAATGAAACCCAGAAAAATTGAAATGACACTTTTTGAGTCAAACAGTCTTTAGCAGCTGGTTCTGATGCTCCACGGGCTCCGTAACTGAGACAGAATGCTTGAGCAGCGCACAGTCCACAGCCTGCAATTTCAAAGTTACCTTCTGTGGAGCTGGAATTAAATGCCCAGTTAATACAAAGGGAAATTTCCCTCGTGCAAAATCTAATCAAATGTAATATGTCTACATTATAACTACCATTTCTATGACTATTATAATTCAAGTTCCTAATTATAAGTTCAGTTCATAAAAAGAAAATTGGCTTTCATTTGAGCAGCATTTTCAGTAAGAAATGGGAAATGCACATTTAAGTACACAGGTTTTCAATACCCATTATAGGCCCAATTCTGCCCTCAAATACTGATATTCAACTCCCTATGCAGTCAGGTTTATATACAAATCTTGGGCTCAGCATAAGTAGGAAAAGTACAGAAATTATTCCTGAGTAAGGAAGGGGGAATTAAACTATTCGGATTTGTTCCAGATTTAAAAGGAAAATAAAACAGAAAAGAACAACCTTCTCTGAAGCAAGATTAAGTATGCCAGATTCAATGATCTCAAACTACGTGTGTTTGAAGAAATAAATTCTTGTTTACTAGCGCCTCCCATTTAGTGTTCCAGTATAGTTTCTTCATAGATATATCTATATCATAGTTCTCTCCCCATTTACCTTGTGTTTAGAATAATTTGAAATAGTTTTACTCAGGGCCACAGACCATATAAACAGGCCCACTACTTAACTCTGTAAAACACAAGAGAATTATTATCTTTGGCAAACTTAAAATATCCAATTTAAAAATTAGTCAAATCTAAAAATGTTTACTTTGGTTTTTTTTTTTTTAATGTTTTGTGTGTTTGTTTTTAAATCTAAAAACACACTTGCACATAAGACTAAAGGACAAAATGTTTGCATTCTGAAGCCAGGCTATAAAATCTGATTTAACTTTTGACATCTGAGATGTGTCATAGTGGGCCTGAATGCTAAGCATCCCATCTTCTCTTTACATGAACCATGAGACCCAAATACCGAAGAAACCAAACCTTCTCTGCCCCTAAACTAGAGCACTGATTTTAACTACAAAATGAGTGCAATTGTCCATTTGGTTGAGGGCAAAGTGACAAGAAGTCCAAGCTGCCATGAAGCTTGCAAAACAAAGTAGTTTTGCTCCAGTAAGATAGGAAATATGAAAGGAGAATGGACGTGAGTTTCTTTGGCTCCCAAAGAAACACTGGAATAGGAATTTCATGAAATTGATTATGCAATATGAAGGTGCATCAGCAGTGGTGTTAAGTAATATGTATAAAACAAGCGAAGACATGCAAAGATCATTAAAATATAAAAATCTATCTTTGTATTTGTGAAATATTAAGTTATAGGTGTTCAGCTGTCCAAAGGAAGTATTCTCTGCAAAACCCACACAAGTATGATAGCGTTGGCAACATCTAGAAAAGGCAACTGAATTTGGTGACTGAACAGACATAAAAAGGCCCGCTTGGAAATTCTTATTAAAATAAACCAAGTTTCATTAGATTTTCCAGCTTATGAGAAATATATCCCTGATCTAAAAGGAAATATCTCTTTCTAATTCATTTATTTCTGTTTCTGTAGAGTGCATTTTTCTTTTGAACTGGAAGATATAAAGATATGAACTGCATCTGATTTTGCTAGCCATTATGTTCAGGATTTACAGCACATAATAGCCTTCAATAAATATTTGCTAATTGAATTTATATAGGAAAAGTTACCATTCTTGAACTTATTTTCTCTGATCAAGCATATTAAAAATATAGTCACTATTTTTTTCAGTGAGTTTTAACAGGGATGCTTGTGAAAGGAAATTAAGTGTAA